CTCGTTGACTAACTTTTTTTCAATGAATCAAACACGTGAAAGTCCGGAGAAACCGATTAGTGAAAAGCTCTTTCTCTGGCACATCCTACGTTAGAAAAATCACGACTTGCGTGTTTTCAAATTGGTTCGCATGGTCAACTGTTTTTTGCTTTGTTTTCAAGTAATCTGCCATGGTTTCAAGTAATCTGCCATGGCCACCTCCCCCATGGAACTTGCGTCGCCTTTACGGGTACGAGGCTACAGTAGACTTTCGTTGACTTCTGGGAGAACCCGTTGCTAAAGTTAAGGCTTCTTTATACTCACTCTCTTCTATATACGCTTCTTTACAATTTTGGGCACATGAATAAATGGAAAGGGAAAATGACACAAATGGTTTCTGAATTTTGACTCAATGTGTAAAGTGATCTTTAAACTTTTAATTTATTCAATGTGGTCCTTGAACTTTAACTCAATGTACCTAAAATTTTAATTTGTTCAATAACGTTTCTGAACTTTTGATACATATTCAATGTAGTTTTTGAACTATATGAAAATGTTCAATATGTTCCCTGGACTTGAATTAATGGAAAGACTACATTGAATATTTTCATATAGTTCATGGACTAAATTGAATATATGCCAAAAGTTCAGGGATCACATTGAACAAATTAAAAGTTCAGGAACCATATTGAACATTATGCTAAAGTTCATAGACTATATTGAATAAATTAAAAGTTCAGGGACTACGTTGCACATTGGACCAAAGTTAATAGAATGACTACATTGAACATTTTCATATAGTTTAGGGACTAAATTGAACATATACCAAAAGTCCAGGGACTATATTAAATAAATTAAAAGTTCATAGACCACATTAAATATTAGGCTAAAGTTCATGGACTATATTGAACAAAATAAAAGTTCAAGGACCACAGTACACATTGGGCCAAAACTCAAGGACTATTTGTGTCCTTATCCCTAAATGGAAAATAAGATGACTCAGCTCCGATGTCGAATGTTACATAATGCAAGTAACATATAGAAAATATCCAGGAAGTGGGAATCAGATTTACCCACATATTGCCTCTTGATTATCTCGTACTCTCCCAACATTTAAAAGTGTCCATGCATGTGGTTTGCTCTTTATTAGGTCAAAAAAGAACATGCATGGGAAAAACTAGACGTGTGTTTAACTATTGCACGAGCTAACGTACCAGTTTCGATAAGCGGAGGACCTGTCCATGTGTTCATTGAATAAATCGTTTGATGGACGTCATGTGCACGTGTATATATTGACCAAATAATGTCCCTTCCCTCTTGGTCCTGTTATTAAATAGTAAACATCACGTGCAATTGTTGATCTCCACTCTCGCCGTGGCTGAGGTCGGCCACCACCGCCGCTCCTCGAGCACCCTCCACCTCTCTCTCTCTCTCTTTCAGTTGAAACCTTAGAAATTGAGGACCTCTTCCGATGGCTATAATGGTGTTGGTTTAGACAGACTTAATCTACGCTTCTCGCTTTTCCGTTAGAATCGTTGTAATTTGCATTTCTAAAAGGGTGATTTGAATCGATGATTCGCATGTGGTATACTTTGATGAGACTGCCAACCGTTTTAAAAGCTTAATATATTAGATGAATGCGTAGTTTATTAATTATTTAAATATTCTAATACCCCCCTCACGAATAGGTTGGACTTTGGCCTAAGCCTAAAGAGTTAAAATATATAATTGGGGAGGCAAATAGGGGTCTGGAAAGATTTTTACTTGGGACTTCCTGCTCTGATACCATGTGAGATTTTGTGAGACCACTGCCAACTGCTTTAAAAGTTTAAACTGTTAGATGAATACATGATTTATTATTCAAATATTCAAAAAATATTAAGAAAGTCGTGTTTCACAGCTATTGGGTGATTCTATCTCCTAGTTAATTGTCTTCTTAACATCATGTGGGAGACATCAAGCTGTGGACTCAGAATAAAAAGTTGCATACCCTTGAGTGGATATGACTAAGTTAGCCAAATGATCTGCTACATGGTTGCCTTCTTCCAAGGATATGTTAAATTTTGATTGGGGGCAAGATGTCATTGAGAATTGGAGCAGCTCGTGGATCAACCCCATCTTGGCTCGACAGGCCGGCAACAATCTTAAAACCTACTTCAAATTTTATGTTTTGAAACCACTATATTCGAGGGAAAATTCCATACTCCCCCCTTACTAACCTCAACCAAATTGCCCTTTTGTACCACTTTGTATCCCCCATAAGTACTGACAGAAAAAAAATATATGTCGATTAAATTCTCACGAAAAAATTTATGATCGCAAATCTTAATGTCATATGAGTCTTCTTGATCCTTACCGAGGGGCGGAGACTATCACGATACCTTGTGCGTTGGTCATCCCGGTGAGAACAAATGAGTCTCTTGAAAAAAGGTTACTACTTGCCGTATATGAAGGAGGATGTGCCCCAGAGCATAGTCAGCAATCGTGACCCCAAGTTTTCACAGGCAAGTTCTTGTCAGAGTTGTTCGGAATCATGGGGTCCGAGCTACACTTGTCTTTTAGATACTACATGAGTGCCGACCAAAAGAATTGGGTGAACCTGCACAATGCCGCCCATTTCTCTTTCAACATTGAGCGGAGCTCTCCCTCTAGCAAGAGCCCATTTGAAGTGGTGACAGGCTAGCAGCCGCTGTTTCCTCACACAATGGCAGTACCAAATGCAGGGAAATCCTGTGAGCCTGCAACTTCATCAAAGACCGGAGGCAAAACACTGATGTTACCTGAGCTCATCTCGAGAAGGCCTCCTAGCGGATGAAAAAGTGGGTCGATTCTATGTTGTAATTATGGTGGGTCAATGGATCAATGGAAGTGAGCAACACAAGATACGTCTCTTCACTTCATGTATCTCACTAATTCATGTATTTCTTGAGTTCATGTATCTATTGGATTCGTGTATCAACTTAATTCGTGTATCTCTTGGGTAGATTCTTGTATCTATTTAATTCATAGTTCATGTATTGCTTCTATACATGAATTCTAAAACTCTATAAATAAATTTGAAATTATTTATTCCAAGAATCACGGGAAACATCTACATCTCCTCACTTCGATTTTCTTTAAGTGTGCTGGCTTCAAGAAGTGTTAAGTGCTAATTCAAACGGATTCGAAGTGTTGTATCTTGGGAGGTATAGTTTGTGAAGTTGCTTAGCATCGTTGACAGTAACTAATTGCCTTAAGAAGATTCGGTTAGCCGTACCTCACCTCCTATTTATTTTTGTTATAGCTTTCTCAGATTTATTATATTTCTGGTTACAACAAACAGTATTATGTATCTTCCTCTAATACGCAATTTGTTCTTTATTTCCAACGTTCTAAAGAGGAGGCCTGTCGAGTACTGGGCAGGCAACCTAGTCACGCAGAGGATCCTTCCGAAAGTATGAAGGTCCAGTGCCAGTGATGGTCAAAGTAGCAAAGTTGCTTATCGACTTTGCTTGCTTGCTTAGTCGAAAAGGATAAGCAAGTCACTGATGACTAATTGAGTCGAGAGAGTGTCGCAAGTCCTTCATGAATGCCCTGATTTGGGTTTGTCCAAGGCGCATTGTCCATAGTCGCTGGGGAGAAGCACCCGTCAACATTGTGTAAGGGTGTTTCACAAATTCTAGATGATGCCATTTCAAGCACCTGTAATGTCTACTCGTGCTAAAATAGGTAATGTTTGTAAAGCTCTTTAGAGATTCAACTACTCAAACTCCCCTATCCCGATAATCCCTTGACGTACAACGCTTGTCCCATTGATTAATAAAACTGAGTAAAACATTTTTCCATGGCCCGTTTTCATTGTTTCTTTGTTACAAATGATCTTGCGAACTGTGCATATGCCTTAGCATCGAGGCATTGCACACTTAAGTCACCTGATGCACTACTCGTGACCGAGGAAAGTACACGCCACATGGTCCTTCTAACTGGGCCAACAACCCGGACCGTGACAAGAATTCATTCACCCTGGAAACACCTATCCTTCTTCGTGGTCGGCAAGGGTTTTGGATAATTTATTGAGAACGGACGTTTATAATTCGTATCCAATCGAAAAAAAAAACGGCTTATAATACGTATCAGTGTCATATTAGTTTTGTTATTTCTTGTTAGCAATATAACATCATAATTTCGAGTCAACGATTCAGATGATTGAATAATTTAGCTCTAGTGGTTTTATCTTACTCCACCCTCCGAATCACTGTGTTCCATCGCAGTCATGGAGTCGTGTCGGTCTTGGCGGAGTTAAAGATCGCTGAACTGGATATAGGCCTCGCAATTCGTAGCTTGTGAATGGAAAGCAAAGGAGTAGTTGTGGCTCAAAGTCAAAGCTGACTAGGAGATTGATTTTGGTGCTTGATTGGAATATGCTGGCCTTGAAGCAGTATACACAGATTCGTTTGTACACTGAAAATTTCCACGTTTGGGTTTTTGGCGAAAAATAAATATTTTGGAAAACGTTTTCTTAAAAATGGTCACTTGTTTCGCTTACTAGAAAAATTAACAAAAAAAAGATCCGTGAAAATGTTTAGGCAAAAATTTTTGTCGACAGTGAAAAAAAATTTCATTGACTAATTATTTCAAGCGATATAAGCGATTAGTTTTTAAGAAAATCTTTTTCGAATCATCCGTTTTCTACAAAAGACACGGACCTTAGATTGTTGAATCCGTGATGGTTTTTCAGACCTAATAGATGCGCTGCTAAAAACATATATTTGATACAACAAGTAAAATTATTAGAAACAAAGTTCGATAAAAAAAAATCAGAAAAGGAGCGTTTTTCGAGCAAAACAAGCCCCGACTAGATCCGTCAAACGGGTGAGTCAGGTCAAGTCGAAAATGGTCCGACCCAAATAGACTTATTTAACCTATTTTGACCCATTTTCATGTAATCCAACGCATACCCGACCCGATTCATAATTTTTAAACACTTCCATTTGCGCCCTTCTTCTCGCCACCTCCCTTGTATATATGCACACCCTCAAAAGCCTCCAATGAAGTGTTTCACGTCTCTACACTCATCCTTCAATCCCTCTCTCTCTCTCTCTCTCTCTCGCTCTCTCTCTCTCTCTCTAGATAAAATGGTGATGCGAAAGCTAGCAGTTTCATCCTTGTTCAGTCCCCTGCTGCTTTGGATTCTATTTGCTTCAGGTTTGCGATGCTGGAGTGAACTTGAGACTCTTTTGCTCACTTTCAGTCGATCCTCAATTACCTCAGATGTTCACTTTATTTTTAAATTACTTCCGAGGCCTGTAGATTGAAATCCTTTTGTGCAGGACATCCGTCCTTGGTTGAATGCGCCTCTGACCGCCACCACCATCACCATCGCGTCCACCATGCCAACGACTGCCTCGCCGTGTTTCGTCCCACAAAGATGTTTGTCTTCGGAGATTCGTATGCAGACACAGGGAACAACCCGAAAGCCTTGGCGAACTCGTGGAAGGTTCCCTATGGAATCACCTTCCCCGGCAAACCCACCGGTCGATACTCGGATGGCCGGGTCTTGACGGATTTCCTCGGTCGGTGTCTCTCTTCCTCTGAGCTTTCTCTGTTCCCTGCGCTTATTAATGAATAACAACAAACCTCTGAATTCTAGAAGAGAAAACTGAACTCTGTTTTGTTTGGACGTATTGCTAAAAAGACGGAGGATGACGTGCTATCATCCCTACTTCATCAATCCTTTGTTAATCTACAGAAACGGAAGAACATCACATCATGATTGCGATTCATAACCATACTAATCAATCATTCTAGAACAAAACGCATGAAGAAGAGGCTCTTAATCCAGTGTGAATATATAGATATGAAGTGGTGGGGTTCCTCTTCAACCTTGCCTCGCCTTACTCAGTAGTGCCTCCCATGCGTGCCTCTCGCATTGCCTTTTTTGTACAGTTTTTTCTTGCAATTGTTTTGCCTTTGCCCTTTATCTTCTATCTTTTCAGATCAGCTTGCCATCTTTCCGTCAGATTCCCACCTTTCCATGATCAGATGCCAAGAGGCCACCACCTTACCTTTTTTTCTCTCTTTGACTAGTTAGGGTGCGTTTGGTAACTTGCCAAATAGTGACTGATTCTATTCTTTTGTTTCCCTAACAAAAAAAGAACAAAAATCCGTTTGATAAATTTTTTTTTCCCGGGCACAAATTTGTTCCCAAAATCAGTTTTGGAACAGAATCAAGAATAAATAAAAAAGTTGATTCTTGATTCTAGGAACAATAATAAGAAATAGAAGAGATTTTTTTTTTTTGCTTTTTCTTCTTTCCTGTTCTTCTTCTTTCCGAGCCGGCGACCGGCCACAGGCTAGGGCCGGCGAGGGCGTCGTGGCTCTCGTTGGCTAGGGCGAGGGCTAGAAAAGGTCGGCGAGGGCCGCGACGCCCTCGCCGGCCATGGCCAAGAAGGAGAAGAAGAAAAAAAGAAAAGAAAAAAAAGAAAAAAAAAAGAAAGAAATATTAAAATATTTAAAAATATTATTAATAAAAAAAAATTTGTGTAGTTATCAAATGCATTTCTGTTCTTTTTCTATTCTAGGAATGGAAATTTTGAGCCGTTACCAAATGCTTTCAAATGCTTAGAAATTATTTTTGAGAACAAAATAAAAAAAACATTTCTGAGCATAAATTATTTTTGAAAACAGAATGGTTATCAAATGCACCGTTAGTCGCCAAAGCCAGCTAATAGTGATACAGTGTCCATCGACTTATAATGAGGTTAATTCTGGCGAGCTTTCCCAGATGTGGTCCAAGGATCAACCGCACCAGAGACACTGTATATTTGTAATTATTACAGGGAAGTGGCAAGAATTAGGCTCAATTATGAAGTTCCTCGATTATCTCGGCGTGCGTGACCGGTCCTTGATCCGATTGTAGCCATGGACTTAGTCTGGTATCTGAGAGTCACCTCAAATACCTATAAGATCGCTAATTGAAAGAGAATGGCTGCTTTGATTTTAGTAAAGGACAAATGGCGACACATTAGTCACCCTTTGTCTTCCTTCTAACATGCGGTCGTTGTTATTACATGCAGCTGCGTATTTTGGAATGAGATCACCGATACCATATAAGTGGAGGAAGGTCGGGTTTAAGTATGTGAAATATGGAATGAACTTCGCATTTGGAGGGACGGGGGTGTTCGACACGCTGTTTCCTCAGCCAAATATGACGGTACAGATCGATATGTTCCAACAGCTTGTTGCCGATTCTGTCTACACTGGACTGGATCTTCAGTCTTCGCTTGCTCTCGTTACTAACTCCGGCAACGACTACTCTACTTACTTGGCCAAGGGCGGCTTGTACGAGGTAATAATTCACATCGGCTCTCGTGAACAGTACATTTTCTATCTAACGACGTTGAATTTTGAAAAAACACAAAAGGGTTGGTTACAACGTTTCTTGCGTCAAAACATTGCTCCTCAGAAAATGTCAAAAGCTTGGGCGTTTTCAGCGGATTTCTGGGTTCCAGGAAATCCAAAGTCGCCGTGTCCATATTCGCGAAGTAGTTGACACGGGCGACGTTCTTGTCTTAATTGCACTGGTTTTCACTCAGTCACGACCTCACCATCTTTCTTAATTTTACCTAATCCAATCCCTAAATGATTTGATCCTCCCAAAATATGTGAACACTCGTGCATTATGCCAAAAAAGGGGGTCTAATCAGATCGAAGAAGAAGGTTATGGACTCATGAGTCATGAGTTGAATTGGAAGGCCTCGATGATTGTCAATAGTACTCAAACCTACGACAAATGGAACTTGATTTGTTTTTCGCCGACGTCGAATGCATGATTCACTGATGAAAGAAGATGTGGATGTAGTCACCCAATCCCTTAGGGGCATCTTCCTTCAATCTTGAACTGCTAAACACTGTGCACATCCAGTGGCTTTGCCTTCAATTGTCACTTGCCAGTATTCTCATGTTAATGATGCTTCCATTATGTTACCTTCATAAATATTTGTCTCATCGGTTGTCTCTGTCTGCTGCGGTGATGCTGAAAATCTTGAGGGCTTATCTATGCTCGTCAGGACTTGCCGAAATTCATAATACAGGTGGTGAACCAGCTCGCTTTGGACATAAAACGCATCCACGACCTGGGCGTGAAAATGATAGCCGTTGCGGGTCTACAGCCTTTGGGATGTCTTCCTTCTATCACCATCTCGGATTCTTACCGAACTTGCAATGCGACTGCAAATTCATTCGTAACCTTCCATAATCAGCTGTTGCAGCAAGCCGTCACAAAGCTGAACAACCAGACCCGGTCATCACCTGCTTTCGTTGTCGTCGATCTCTATACCTCATTCATGTCCGTGCTTAATGACAAAGGTAATTCATCTTGAATGTATTAAATATCTAGATCCGCTACACACAGGACACAACTTTTGGATGGTGGACCCAAAAACAGGATAGTCCTTAGGCCGCCTAACCTAGAATCCTCTGCTAGCCTGTATTATCGCACCTCATCAAAAGAATACCGGGTTCACTGGGCGTTCGTACACATGGTCTCCCTTTACCGAATAACTTAAGTTTACGATTTAAACATGGGCACGCAAATACAACCATCTTCTGATCTTGGTTTTATTTGTTGTTCTTTGTTTTCTTTCTGTATTTCCAGCAAGTACCAAGTTTCAGGAACCGCTGAAACCATGCTGTATGGGGACAAACAGCAGTTATTCGTGCGGGAGTGTGGATGGAAGTGGGCAGAAGCAATATACATTGTGCAAGGACCCGAAAGGCATGTTCTTTTGGGACACGTTCCACCCTACGCAGGAGGGTTGGCGAGCTGTGTTCTCTACATTAGGACGCAATCTCAAGCAACTGTAGATTGATTCATTCCCGCTTACCATTCAATAATTCACGGTCTTCAGTGTTTTACGTACCTCTCGTCAATAACAGAGTGTCTCTTGTGATCCCTTCATCTTAATTGTCTCCTATTTGATTCGTTTATAGAGCAATGTGAATTAGGAAATAGTGTGATTTATGGAATAATTACATGTTTCTTTCGTGGAACAAGTTCTTCAGGCCTTATTTGATTATTGATTGTTGACACGTCAATATACCCGCGTTGCATGGATGTCACATCAACAATTTGAGAATGGATTTTTTGAACTTATGTAGGCAAACGAAACCTTAATCACCTTAATCTATCTTCTCTATGTTTTTATTTCGTCGCTCTTGTAATTATGCATGGCCCCTAGCGGCCAATGGTCTCGCATGAGACAAGTGGCAACCAAAGAGTAATTTGGGCAGGGTTGGGTAAGGCTACTTAGCTAAAAAGCCCAACAAGTGCCGTCCCGTCCCGATAAATCGAAACATGTTTTTTTTTCTTATTATGGATGAGCTTAGATAACATATTAGGTCAGACCTAATGGCCCCGCCACGGTGCGTACTAGTTGACCCGAAAAATTTATAAATCTTTTGTCATAAAGGTGTCCAGGAAAAAGTTTAGACCTAATCAATGCCCTCCCAATTATCTATCTCTATTTGTTAGCACATTTCATCTCATCCTCCTCAGTGGCTATTGTCGTAATCTAACCCTCGAGGGCCGCCTCGGGAGGATAGGTTTAGAGGTACTTTACGAGACACTCCCTAAGTCCGTACCTCGTGTGACGCTGGTTGTCATGCTTTATTTGGAATCGCCACTAGCCACAATTAAAGGTCGGATAGAAACCCTAAAATCGAGACGTGGGAATATCGTCTCGATGTATACGCAACTAGAGATTCTTAAGGATTGAAGACTTGATTATACTAGTTTTTCAACTAATGCCCTTTCGATACCTAAACTCGACTATTTGTTAATCAACATACCGGGACAGTCTTTTTTACTAATCAAGAATTTTGAAATTTCGTCCTGACCATTCTAAAGAGAACAACAAACAAAGTATTTAAAATGCACAATTAATTGGAATAAAAAATGAAAATGCACAAACAACAACCTAGCATCATCTCTAAAAGAAAAAACAATAAAAAATTCCTAAAGTAAAGCTTTCAATTTTAGATTCAACTTTTATTCAAGCCTAAAGTGTTTATTGAAAGCCCTAGACTAAGAGAATTCTACATTTTTTTTATAGCTTTTCTCACATTACTTATTTATTTATTTTTTAATTTTTTGAATTTTTTATTTTTTATTTTTTATTTCGGGAAAAAGGACTTCGGACCGGACAAGGAACCCGGTCCAATTAGCCGGTCTGACCCGGACCCAAAGGGTCCGGGTTAGGTCAACTCGGCCAAGCTATTGGGCTCAATGTGAATAAAGCCCAGATTATCAGATTTCAGTTTTTATTCATTTAGGCCCAATTCGAATCCCTATTCCTTGTTCGGCCCAGATTCTACCCCATCGGATCCTCTCCAACCCAGACCCGTACTCGACCCGGTCTTTATTATACCCGAATTCTATTTCTTTTATTTTTATTTTTATTTTTTTTTCTACTGTATTTTTTTTTTTGACTTTTTGGTCCAGATTTTGCTCTCTTTACCGAGAGCTTCATCTTCTCCACGTTCACTGAGATTTCCTTCTTTACCCGTCAATACTTACCAGTCATCACATTTCGGTCATCAACAACAACCTATCTTCACCGTCGCCATTCACGGCCATCGACAGACCACCACTTACTCCGGTCACGAAAATGAACTCCGGCAACCAAATTCCATTTTACGGCCAACAAACTTCCGGTTACAACAAAAAATCCTAAATCTAAACAAACAAGAAATCACTTGGATGAAACAGAGATAGAAAACTAATGGTAGCTAGGGGTGTCAATGGGTCGGGTCGGATCGGGCTTTCATGATACCCGACCCGAAATATATAGAGTCGCGCTTGACCCGACCCGCCCCGATACCCTGTTCAGCATATACTCTAAGAATAGGGTCGAGTCGAGTCGGTCCGGGTCGGGTTTAGGGTTTGTTCTCTGCAGCTTGTTCTGTGCCTCCTCCTCCTCATCTGTCTCTCTCTCTTTGCATTTACGTATCAAAAACCACAAGATCTCCCCCCCCAAAATCACAACGAACACAGATCAATCCCACCCCATCGGGATTCCATTTTCTCATCCTCCCCAAAGAAACCGATCGTCACGAACCGCTTTGCTTGCCCTTCCCGATAGCCTGCATTCCCGTTCCACGATCACCGTGTTCAAATCAGTAGGTTTCTGATCATGGGTCTCCGATCCCTCTTCCGTCGGAAGAAACCCACCTTGGAGACGGCGGGGGGTCCGCATTGGCCACCCCGCTGGGGTCGCGATCCTCGTCAATGGGGTCCCGGTCCCAGATCGAGGAGCTATAGTAGGTGTTCAAGAAGTTCGGCGCCAACGGGGACGGCAAGATCTCAGCGTCGGAGCTGGGGTCCACCATGGGCTCCCTCGGCCAGCCGGAGACGGAGGAGGAGCTGGCCAAGATGATCCGCGAGGTGGACTCCGACGGGGACGGGTTCATCGACTTTGGGGAGTTCGTGGAGCTGAACACCAAGGGGGTCGACCCGGACGAGGCGATGGAGAACCTAAGGGATGCGTTCTCGGTGTACGACATCGACGGGGACGGGTCCATCACCGCGACGGCCGCTGCTCTGGCGAAAAGGATCGACGGGGAGATGGAGCTCGCCATGGAGGTGGGTCTCGGCGCCAAGGCCTCGACCTGGGCTGTCACGACGAGCGCCGTGACGGTGAGGACGAAGGCCACCACGACCATGTTCACAAACTTCACGGCCGCCATTGCCACGAACCCGAACTCGAGCTTTTCGCATGCCTTTGAGAGGTTGTAAGTGCGAGGAGAAGCAGAGAGAGCGAAGGGAGCAAAGTTCACGGCTGCTCGCGTAGAGAGAGAAGAGAGCGAAGGGGAGAGAGGGGGGGGGGGGGGGGGGTCAGGCCGGATCGAGTCAGCTCGGGTATTTTTTACACCCCTAATGGTAGCGGTCTCAAACTGCGGGCACGTCTCCGGCGAGAGGAATGAATCCGACGAAAATTTCAACCATGGCCGACTCGGAGAAACATTAACATGCCACAAAAATCACAAAGAAACATAGAGGAGTGAGCGAATAATCATTTTAGAACCAATCAAGCATGAACTGTGATTCAAACAGACGTTTTCATTCACATATTGATTCAACACTTCATTCACACATTTAATCAAACAGCTAGCATGCAGTTTAAGAAGTACATTCCAACATGAAATTCAATGCGATTCTCGACTCAATTGTGATACATAAAGACCCGAATCAACATATTTCATATCAACCCCATCTCAATTCATCGAAACTCACTCAAAATTTTCACAATCAAATTCGGTGTTCTAAGTTTCCAACATCCCATTCAAGCATTTTAGCGAATAGTTGATGTACGATTTAAAGCATGAATTCTAGACTCGGTTTCAGTGCAATTCTCGACTCGATGTTGACATATGACACTCCAAATCGTCATTATATTCTATGACTCAGCTTTAATATCACAGGATTTGTCCACAATCGCATCAATTCATTCCAATAGTCTCAAACTCAATAAGCGGCTACAAAAACAGGACAAAACAAATCATATTTGAGGAGCTCACCTGGACAGAAACGGAGATTCAATCGGAGACGGCAAGGGATGTCCGGCTATGATTCCTTTTTCTTTTTGGATTTGCTCACGTCACCTCTTGTGAGCTGTTCATCATCATTGCTCACAGACGTGAGCGTCACCATCGCTCTGCTCACAGACCTGAGCGTGCTAGGGAAGAAGAAATGCAACAGGCTGGGCTGTCATGGCTGTAATAGGCCTTGAAGGAAATGATTGGGCCCAAAGACAAAAGAGAGAAAAAGAAAAGAGAAAAAGAGGGCCGAATTCAGCCCAAGCGAGGAAAGAGAGGAGGGCCAGACGGGCAGCGGGCCGAACGCGTGAATTGGGCCCAATTGGGCTGGATTGAACCAGAATTTTTGTATTCTTATTTATTTAAATTCTTTTTGTATTTTTTTTGGATTTGTTTTATTTTTGAAAATAAGGTGTCAATAGCTGTGCCCCGTCACTGTCATATACCGCGACAGCACCACCAATGGTATTGCAACTCAAGTCAAATTTTGATAGGTTCAACAACGTCCTAACCATTTCTAGCAAATTAATAGCAAATCGAGTGGTAGGGGTGGCCAACGTCCGATAGGAAGTGGGGTTGTCCAACATGACCTCTACTAAAAAATGGCCCCCCCTTTAACGCATTCTCTCCCTCGATAGCCATAGTCATAGGCAAAAATCGCCATTACATAATCGTTGGCTTAAGGTTTTTTTAGGAGAAAATTATCCAAAAAGTCCTAAACCTATTGCACTTTTGTCAATTTAGTTCTAAACCTTTTGACAATTTACCAATTGAATCGTATTGGCCGGGAATTTCTAACGCGGACGCTAGTCATCTTACATGGCACAGGCAGCGCTGACGTGGACGATTTTTTAATTTTTCTTTTTCTTTTTTCTCTGTGTTTTTTTCATTGTGTCGGTGAGGGTTGTCACCGGCAAGGACGCGAAGGCCCTCTCTAGATCTAGGTGAGTGTCCCCTGGCCCGGGGCCAGTGGGGCCACGAAGGTGGCCCTCGGCGAGGCCATCACTGCCTAGCTAGCCAGTGAGGGTCTCCGGTGACTCTCGCCAGCGCAATGAAAAATATAGAGAAAAATAAAATTTTTTTTTATAAAATTGTCTACGTCAACACCGGCCATGTCACGCAGGACGATTGACATCCATGTTAGTGATTTCTGGCCAATATGACTCAATTACTAAATTGACAAAATTGAAAGGTTTATGATTGAATTGACAAAAGTGCAATAGGTTTAGAACTTTTTAAACAATTTTCTTGTTTTTTTTTGTGAACTGGGTCTAATTGGATGTGGAATAAGTGCTCGATCTTAGGCTCCGTCTAGTTATTTCTCTAGTATGTGGAGTGATATTAGAGTCAATAATTAATCATTTGACCCTCAATTGGATTGGAGTTTAATGAATATCTCAATAAATGAATCTTGTGATCAACGCGGTTGTCAAGTAAGGATTTCCTTCAAGGTTAAGTTTGGAAGAAGAGATGGAGATTCAAGTGAAAATGCGTTAGTTCAA